TCATTCTGACGGCACCCATTCACTGCAGAGCATCCATTGCTGAGACACTGATGCAATGCTACATTTCTCCAAATCTGATGAAGAAACAATCTCATCTACATTTTGGATGGCCTGAGAGTGAGGACATTTTCAACAAATTTTCGTTTTTGTCAGAACTCTTCCTCTGAACAGCGGGAGTACAGGAGGAGCGTTCAGTCACGCGGGTCGCTGATCTCTAAGTGGTCCGGAATGGGGAGCCCCGTGAGGACGGTCAAGCACTTGTTCCACACGCTGAAGACGGGACAGATGGGCTGAGAGAAGGCGACGTCAAAGGTGTACAGGTGCTGCGTTCCCGCAGCGTCGTAAAACGCCAGAGAGCCGGAGTCGTAGTCGAGCAGGACTCCCAGACGCCGCATGTGAGGAGACGGCTCGATGGGAAACTCCTTACTGTTGTGACGCACGGCCCACGAGGTGTTGCAGCGGCTCAGTACCCATGATGCCGAGTCCTTACCCACCCAGCCGTGCTTGGGAGCCGATTTGTAGGCGATCCCGATAGCAAACCTAGAAAGAATTAGAGAGAATGCATTTACATTTACACGTTTGTTTACACATTCTACCGATCAATTGTTTGGAATAATTCAGTTTTTTTTTTAATGATTTTGAGTCTCTTCTGCACACCAAAGCGGTTTTTAAGAAATAAAAATTAATTAAACATGATGAAATAAAATAAAACATAAATACTAAAATGTTAATAAATAAAATTACAAGGGCTGTCATCGTTAACGATGATGCGATTAATTTTACAATCCTTAACACGTTAAAATAATTTAACGCAATTAACGCAAAATTACTGAAGCACAATTTCTATTCTAACCCCCAATTTTGCCTCTCTGCTTGCGATCAGATCATTTTAAGCCGCTAAACTCTGGGAAAGTTTTCAGTTCAATGATCCAGTAAGTGAATGCATTCAAACAATCCGTCCAAAACAGCGCTAATATAAAGGAAATCAGGCTGATTACATCAGAGATTGCAGAGAGAACAGAGACTCACGTTGCGTTTTCAGTTAATTATTCATTCCAGTGTTTCGCTTTAAAACACAAGCTCTGTCATATTCTGTGATTGTCTCTGAACTCTCGCGCTGTGTGAAGTATTCTCAACACATCCCACCGCTGTATGGCCAGATGAGACGCGACTGCATAACCAGTCTCGCTAGTAAAGTTTTGATGGATGAAGACTGCAATCAAGGTAAAGACGATTGCGGTGGCGTACAGGAGTCGTACAGTAAGCACGCGTGAGTCCGTTATAATAATGCGTGTATGAGTGCTCTTGACGCACTGATCGCACATTGTATTTATGCACAGGCACAGA